TAATTTGTTGTAATTCCTAGTCTCTCAGAGTTCCTTTTCACTGAATCATAGAAAAATAGGACTGGAAAGGACCTAAAGAGGTCGTGCTGTCCATCCCCTCCCCCTAGGCAGGATCAACTGTCCCTGTATCATTCTTGACAGATGTTTGTCTAACCTGTTCTTAAAAACCTTCAGTGATGGAGGTTCCCTGACATCCCTAGGCAACCTAGGCCACTCTCCTTAGCACTAGAAAAGTCTTCCTACCGCCTGGCTCTAGCCTCCCTTACTGCAATTTAAACCCATTACTTTCTTCTCCCTTCCATTAGGGTCATATTTTACTCTTGCTGTTTGTCTAGACTCTCTGTAAAACCCGTAGCAGTTCTGTTACGATACAGGGCAATATTCTCTGAAAAGTTTGTACTTTATTTCTGCTTAGTTTCTTTCTCTTTCCTTAGTTTATACAAAATACCTTGCTACTCTATCACTATCATGTAATTTTCTGGATGCAGGGAACGACATCCCTGATCTCATAAGACCTTAATACAGGACTCCAGTCAACCATCCCAGGTGTAGGAATATGCTACAAACATAATTTAAGAACAAAATTTAGTCTTCGCCTCTGCAATTATCAATCCACACTACCTTCAATGTTGACAGCAGCATGTAAAACTGATGTAAAAGAAGTAAGAATCGGGCCTTTTGCATTTTTCAGTTTATTATAAAGTATTGTGCTGCACTTTATGCTTCTCATATTCATCTTATTCCTCTAGCTGTAGTGTGCATACATATATTCCTGCCAGATACTGATCAGTGTTGCATACAGTCATCATTCTCGGCGTGTCTACTATATCCACCTACACAGAATGGCACTTACAGCAACTGCTTCTGTAATTTCTGTGCCTCCTTCTGTCTTTGGATGGAAAATGCACAACAGTCATAAATATAATTCATATCATATGTACATGTCTAAAATTGGGAAAAGTCAGCTATTGCAAGTTTGAATTGATTCTGTCATCTAGAATCTAATTCATAATCTAATCGTCGCCTCTCCTTAAGGCTATTTCTGGAGTGGAAATTATAGTGGATGAAAAGAGAGAGAGTATTTTAATGCAATTTCATGACATAGATAACTACCATTGTTCTTTAAGCAGGACATTTACAGCTTAACTGTCACATCTGTAAAACAAGAGGTGTGCTGAAAATTATGTAGGGAGTTAAAGATGGAATCCTCCCTCAGTCCCTGGCCAGGCCTTAAGGTGACTCTTCAGCCTCTCCAACCCCATTGATGCCTTTTCCTTCACAAGCAGTGAGTTAGAAACCAACAATCTGTAAAGAGCCCTTTTATATTGCTGTTACACCTAAGATTACTCTGCATCCAGACTTCACTAGCTATACCCCTTTTTGCCCAGCCACATTTTGAGAACTTCTTACATTTGTCCAAAGATTTCTGGATGTCTGACAAGAAAACTGCCAAGCTTTTGGGTATCCCAGTTATTTCAAAACTATGTTTGCAAATGTATTGGGCGATACATGTGCAGAGGATCAAATATTTCCTAAACTTAACCAGTATACCGTGCACGTGCTGTGCTGTGGCTGTGTGCACGCTTTGCATGCACAACTGGAGAATGCAGAATGCCCTCTCATTGTGGTGCTTCCTGGAAGCTTCAAATTTGTTGTGTGCACACTCAACATTTGAACTCTTCAGGGACTGTATGTGTAGCATGGCTGGGAAATGTTGGATTTGCCATCTGTGTCTTACATGGTCATGTATTTCTCCCTGAGAAATACTGATGGCAAATAGCATAGAATCATAAAAAGTTAAGGCTGGAAGGTCAAGGTTCAAGAGGTTATCCAGTCTACTCTGCTGTTCTCAGGTGAAGTAGCTATTCCAGTATTTGTCTAACTTGCTCCTAAGCACTCTCATAGGAACTCCACAGGTTCCCCCAGCAATTTATGCCAGTGCCAAGTTAGTCAGCTTTTCCCAGCATCTAATTTGAATCGTCCAGGTTATTGCGCCTCATTCTCTCCACTGTAAAATGTAAGACAGACTCATTCTCTCCTCTTTTCTTTAGCTCTGCCTGTATTTGAGGCAGGCATCATATCCCTCTCAGTCTTCCCTTTAGATTAAACATGACCAGTTTATTCCAGATGTCCTCATAAGCCTCAGTTAACTCCCAGGCGTTCAGCCGCTCTAATTATTCTCCTCCAGCTGGTCCAGATTTTTTCTGAAGTGTGGCATCTGGCTGTGAACATGGTGCCTCCCTGCAGAGGTCTTTCCAGTGTGTACTAGAAGAGAAGATTCTTCATATGCACTGCAGACATCACTCCCACTTACACAGCTCGGTATGGGAGCTGCCTTTTCTTCAGTTTTGCAACACCCCAGCATTGCTGGCGGCATGTTCAAACTGACAGGATCATTTTGAATCCTAATTTTGTATTTCACCCTATCAGAAGTCCCTCCCAGCATGTCATAGGCATGTAAATTTAATTTTAATAAGTGTATTCTCTTCTCCATCATCCAGGTCATTAGGAATATATTAAGTAGTTCAGAATGAGGACAGACTTCTGTGAAGCACCATCCACTCACACTTCCATTTCCACAGATAGATATTTATCCTCTCAGTTTTGTTTTCTAACTACTTTTGCATTCATTCTGCATCTATTTCATCTAAACTGTGTTTCCCTAGGTTATAAAGAATGTCACATGAGGGAGTGTCAAGAGACTTGTAAAGTCAAACCACCTACTGCTTTTTCCCTGTCCGCAAGGCCAATTACCCTGTCTTAGAGGGAGATCAGATTGGTTTGACACAGTTTGTTCCTAACAATCCATGTTGTCTGTTGCTACCTTGTTTTCTTGCGGGTGCTTATAAATTGTTTGATTATTTTCTTCAGTACTTTTCCACGGGTTGAAGGTTAGTTGACTAGGCTATAATTTTGCAGATCTTTCTTTTTAAAGATAGCTACTGCATTTCCTCCTCCATCCTGACAGATAAGCACTAACATCTTTAAGCCTGTTCCAGATAGTGTGAAAGGATCTAACTCATCTAAATACAATACTTTTCTTCCCTTGCCTAGGCTGAACTCTTTATTTTTGCTAGAGATTCCCTCAGACAACAGACCCAGAGCCCAAACACCTGCCTGTTTCTAAAAGCTTGCAGTCTGGAGTGACATGGGCATAATGGATGGGCAGTCCATTTCTGCAGCGTTCAGAGGAGGCCAGCCCTCCTAGTGGACTGCTTCCCTAGGAGGAGATATTTTAAAAGTAGACGTTCTGGGTTGGGAGCTCTCTATAGATAAAATCCAGCCTTTAGTGAAGTTTTTTTAAAGATGCCCAGTGCTTCCATGAGTCTGAAATCTGGAAGCCTTTCAATCAGCTTCTCCACTATTATCCCTTTGATACAGTGCCAGTTTTCTTTTTTAAAATGTGCTTGATCCAAAAAAACTCCTCAAGATAGTAAAATGTTTTTGTTTATTGATCCTTACGGAAGTCAGAATAGGCCAAAACTGGTCAGATAAATAATTTTCATTATTATTAAAGGGTAGCTTAAAGTTTCTTGCTTCCTTTCGTACTATATCGTTCTGTATGGGAGGTAGAAAAAGGAGTTGTATTTTTTTTCCACTCTTAAACAGATCCATAACAGGAATAATGTCATTAAAATTGTTCATGTGTATTCCACAGAAAAGTGTCATCTCGAATGTGATCAGATACATTTATCTACTATGCCATACAATCTGTTGTCTACTTAGCATCACTCATTTCTATGTGTTCTGGGAGCGTATTATATATAATTTGAGTATTACTAATGAATTCAGCTCCTTTTCTGAAGTCATTTGTTCAGTTAAATATCAAAGAGAAAAACTCATATTCCTTAGAATTCAAGAAATAGATTTAAATTACTGACTTCAAGCAAGGCCAAATAGGCCTTTATCTTTCCCCCTTTCTGAGAATGCAGATAACAGCTATCACTTAAAAGTTAAGCCTTTTAATACATTTTTGCAGTCTTTTTTGATCAATATCAAGAATGAACATAAAATAAAGGTATAATAAGTAGCAGTCACCTGATTGCATCAGGTCCATATCTCTGTATTATTAGGCTCTGAAAGGTCTGTACTGGACTACTAGAAGCCAATTCAAAACTGTAAGGTCTATTGTGTACCTTTATTCTGCAGAGAGAATGCCCTTTGAATTTGCTGGGAGTTTTATGTAAAAATCAGTTACCAGACCATGTTCCTAGTTTTCAGTCCCACGTGAAAGCTTATCGTAGGCAGAAGGGATTAATGGTTCTTTCCTTTCTCCTAGTGACAACCAAAGACTACACTGTTGTAAAATTTGTAAAAAAAAAAAAATTGTAAAGCCAAATTCACATATCACAGTGTATCATTTGCATTTACCATACTCGCTAGACTTTTTAGGTACATCTTAGTTGACACAGTCCTGATGTGAATGGGGCTCAGAAGTTTCACTGTGTTCTCAGCAAGGACAATTTATCCATTGAGAAATAAGGTTTCAACATTTTGGTTTGTTTGCTAGATCTAATGTCATAAAACAAATTATTCCTTTCTGTAGGAGAGGGACTTTCCCCCAGTATAATCTTCCCCATTCCTACCCTTCTTGTCCCTGGTCCTGCAGTATGAAAGGACCTCTCTGAAACAATGCTAATTTATATAAGAATCCATGTAGGGAATAAAAGTTTGACTTCATGAGTCAGAAAACAGGTAAGGATATGTATTTATTGAATCAGAATTCTGCTGGGAGTGTCATAGGTCTCATCACCCATTTCCAACAAGTATTTAGCTTCTAGTTAGATTAAGTATCTGATTAAACTGAGAAAAAAAGGAAAGTCGGAATTCAAAGCAGCTCAGATTGCTCCTGCTGTAACACTGTCACCTGAACTAAGTCCGTGGTATTTAATGCTCCTATGGGATTTGTTCCCCAGATGTAGATGGGTGAGATGGTGCATTGAAAGTTTCCTATTACTGCTTCATTTTCTAAATACCTATTTTTACATTTTAACATATAGCTCCATCAGCCCTCCCAGACGCAAGTGGGACAAGCAGCCTCACAACCCAATCTCCTGCATTTGGCTCACAGTCAAGCATCTATGTCTCAAAGCCCAGTGCGTCAGGCTTCCTCTTCTTCCTCCTCATCCTCCTCCTCTTCAGCTTTGAGTGTTGGCCAGTTAGTCAGCAGTAAGTATTGCTCCCTGGCTCTCCTTAATTCTCCCCTCTGTTTGTCCTCCTCACTGCTGAATTTCCTGATCTGCTTTCCCTCCTTTTTTTTCCATGTAGTAGATTGTATATTGCTAAGGAAGTGGCTCTTACCAGTAAGACCTGCTAAGTGCTGTCATGGATGGGGCTTGAGGTAAACGTGCCTTGAGAAATTGTAATTAATGCCAAGAATGGCCATAAAAATGGTAGCAGCCATTAATTGACTTATGAGGGCAATTCGTTTAACTAAAATGTACTTTATGTTCTTTGGAAAGGAGAAGTTTTTAAATCAGTCAATATAATGAATTATATTGCTCAAACTTTGGTCAGCAGACAGATCCTCCCACTTCTGGTTAGCCTGCTTGTTCGTTAGTATTTGTTTGCTTAGTGTAGCAAACCATTTTACAAACCCAAATCTAGAGCGAGAGACCTTTCTTGCCAGGAAAAGCTCGCACACTTTAAACAAGAAAGAATTGTAACATGTGGGAGAGGAGAGAGAAGCATGCTGCAGTGAAATAAGTGAGTTTCAGTGTTAGGATTGTAACAGCTGACCTCCTGAACAACCCTTCTTCCAGATCACACAGTTCAGAGTCTTCACGATTACCTTATCAGCATTAACTTTGGTCTTTACATAGCAAAACCAACAGGTTAAAAAGTATACATAAGAAGCATTAACAGTTTTTACACATCTGCAAAATTCTGAGTGTATTGGATGACCTTGTTCAAAGATACTCCATGTGCATATTTCAAGTAAACAAACACTGTAGCTCACACCACATTGGTAATGTAAAATACATGACTGATAGAAGCTTATGAAAGACTTGGAGAAGCTGTTGTGTGAAGATGTGGAAAAAATCTTGGTTAGATTATTTTGGAGATTGTTTACATGGGGAAATTACTAGCAGAGCTCTAGTGGTAAAATTATGCTGGTATAACTCCCAGTGTGAATACTTTTATTCTGGAATAAAAATATCCATGTTGGTAGCTGTTAAGTACACAAAATATATAGATATAATTGCAGTGATATAAATATACTGCTATTGCTCTGTCAGTAAATTTTCTCATGTAGATAAGCCTGTAGGAAGACGACAAATAAGAGACTTCATGTTAAAAATACATAAAGCTACCCCTTGTCTATGTGGGAAAATTGACTAAAATAGCGAGTGCAGAGTAAGTTACTTTTCAATGGTTAGTCCTGAATCGCCTCCCCTGTGGACATTCTTATTAAAAAATTATTCTAGAATAACTATTGAGGAGGACTCTACCCCATAATAGTTACTCCAGTTAATTTCCCCATGTGGATAAGTGCACTACACAATAAAAGCAACATGGAAGAAGTCCTTTAAAGTTTACAGGATAAATCCATCAAAAGTTAGGTGATGCTAGAAAAATAGTTGCTTGTTCAACTGCATGCAGTTCCTCTTAGAACATGTCTTTTATGATAACGATATACGTTGTGATTAAAATCACACAACCGTGATTTTTTTTCTCATCCTTCTTTCAGTGCATTCCCAATGGTATGGGGAGTGCAACAGAATTACTAATGCAACAGGCGGGCTGTTGTGCCAGGGTTTGTTCCCTACCAGATTCACTAAACTGGTCCTCAGTTTGCATAACATGTGAGGTAGGGAGCTGTAGAAGGGTGAAGGGTGGTCTTGCTTCAGGCAGCAGAGGGCTGAGGAGCTGAAGCTTTCTGTCTGCCACTTAATTCCAGTGCAATGGCAGGCAAGTCACTTAAAGCAGGTTTTTCACAAGTGTTCCCTCAATATCCAGCTTGAGACTCTGGACTTTAATTTACGGAAAAACCTGGTACTCACAATTTTAAGTGCACTTTCATTGTGGAACTGTGTAAAGAATCATTTAAAGACACAGTCTAAAAAAATCTTCTCCTACTTGACCTACACTGGGTACCCAAAAAATGCTTTTTCCCCTAATATCTGTCTACTTCTCTGTGAATGAGAAGGGGAAGACCCTCATCTTGTACGTAGAAACACAAGAAAATAAATTAAGATTTTAAAAAAACAGAAAAGCTCAAGAGGAAATTAATAACTATGTCTTTGGTGAAGAGCTTTAATTGAGGTTTGAGGCCACACACTGAACAAGTAAAAAGGCAATACATCCATCAGTTCTTCTGTAATGAAGCACAGTTTGTCCTGTGTACTGAATGAGGGAGGGGTCTGGGAAAAAACAACTGGTAATTCTGGGCTCAAAGACTATGCTACACTGTGTTGTGGGCTACTGTAACTCCAGCATTTTGTAGCTTCTGAGTGTTTATTTGTGCAACTGTACGGATGTTCTTTTAGCTTTATTTTTTGCTTGGATAAATTTCAAGGTTGTTACAAAAGCAGAACAGTAATGTCAGTCAGTCATATGGTGAGGTAATGCTTATATTCATGGTTGGAAATATGAGATCTTCTGTCAGTTGAGTGGATGGAGAGGCTGATCGGTTGTGTTATCGTCTTGTTGGTCCTGCTTTCAAAGGAATAAGACACATGCTGTGCTCATGCATTTGGCTGAGAGCAGAGGAGCATGAGCCACAGGAATACCAGTTTGGGGAAGAGGGGGAGATACACTAATGAACATAGACTTTCTACTTGTTCCTTTCAGGCTTGACTCCTTCCGCCACTTGTCCTGTTCCAGTCCCATTATTTCCTCAGGCCGTTCTCCACACAATCTGCACTCCTTTTGCCTTCATACTTTTTTCCTCTTGCCTACTCCCTGCAGTCCTTTCTCTGCAGTCCATCATTCCTCAACTCCTCTTCCCATTTCAGTTCCCCTCCAGTTAATCTCTGTCCTCAGACCATATCTGTGTCCCTTTTACCAGCCTTTTTATTAGGTAGTTTCTGTCCTCCTCACTAGTGCCACCTCTTTTTCCCTGTTTTCTTTCCTCTACCACAGTGATTACTACTCTCTGCATAGTCAGACCCTCTCTCCCTCCACTCCCAACTCAACTCCTAGCTCCTTAATAGTCTTCAGGTGTTTTTTCCCTTCTGTCACTTCTTTTTCTTCAGACAAGGTTAATTTTCACCTCACCTGCATCCACATCATATAGACGCCACTCCCACCCTCCCTGGAAGCCATCAGAGGAGTGTGGAAAATGATCACCAAGAAGAGAGGCTGGTCAGCCTCTCTGTCCTTACTGCCTTCCTGGCCCAAAGCAAACCAGAGCCACAACCATAGGAGAGGTTCTTCTCCGTCTGCTTCAGTCTTAGGCTCAAGTATCCTCAGTACAGAGAAAAATGTTAAAGAAAACTCCACACAGAGAACTTGCAAGTCTGTACTGAGTAGATATGCAGCTTTGGAAGCTCACATGCTTGGACTTGTTTGAGACATATTTTTACTTGGAATGGCAAGAAGCCCATTACTGACATAACCACTATGTCCCTGACGCCTCAAGGCCATGCTTCAAGTTTTAGGGAAACTGAAGCTTCTTAAAGAAAAGAGATTATTACAATTCTTTCATCCTGGGCAGAGCAACGTGTTTTCTTAGCCTCATTCTCAGAAGTGGTTGACCTGAAATTTGTCTTATGATATCAAATGCCGGTCAAACTTAGCCATAGTCAATACCCTACCTGTGACAATGAATGGCACAGAGAAGATAGTTGGAGTGCTTCTCTCTTGCTCAAAACAGAAGAAAACTCAATTAAATCAACAAGTGGGAATCTCAGAGTAAAGAAAATACTTTTCATACGATCAGACTGAGGAAGCTGTTGTCCTGGGGACCCAGATCTTAAAAGAGAGGGTATTTATAGGAATCTCCTATTTAAAAAGCATGAGGATAATTACACATGAATAAAAAGTTCTTGACTTGTTCTGAATTTATGTTTCAGGCTTCATCCAGTCCCTAGCTATTCAAGACCAACAGACCGAGTAGTGTGAGGGGCAGATCAACTAATTTCTGCCATTTACGTAGCATTATCACACAGTGAGAAGTAACACAGTGATCTCGATGATCCTTGATGGCTGTCCAGCATATTCTTGAGAGCATCTAGCCAACCACAAACTGGAGCTAACACTGCTTGAGCTGGCATGTAAGTGACAATGTTCCAGGGCACAGGAAAGCTACCTGCTGGTTTCTAGTAATGTAGAAAGAGCCTACAAGAAGGAAGAAAATGTGGTCCGTTCAGTAGAGAAAGATCAAAACACTTGTGTAATGAAACATAAAAAGGCAGACAGGATCCTTTCATTGTCCTTGATAATACCACCCTTTTAGACAAACAATCTTAATTGATCTTCATGAATTCAAAAATTGTTTCGTATGACTACAAACCCATTTGCATACAAGCCTGCACACAGGGAAATAGGTAGACAGAAAGTCAACCTTGGTTTGCTCCTTTGCAGAATCCATTCAGTTTCTTGATGCAGGTTCCGAAAGGGCAGGAGCACTGCTTTTTCAAGCCTACGGCCCATAATTGAGCAAAGCCTTCCTAGTGTCCCTGGTCCCACACTGGCTAGCAGAGCTTTCTATAATAGGCCTACAATTGAAATCTAGTGTCTGCCAAAGTCCATTCAAAGTCTTTTAGTGGGATTAAGCCTGCAATGGGTGGGTGGTCCTGAAAGAAATCCATAGGCATGAGGGCAGCAAGAAAAAACTTATGGCCTCCTGAACATCTCTTTGATTGCTTTACCCCTCCTGAGGTAAGAATATTGTTGTTTCCTTTTCCTCAATTGTTCCAAAGCTGCAGTCCAGTCCTCTAGCAGAGGCACTAGAGTCAAGTACCTTGGTAGAGATTTGCACTATTCCAGAAATTGTTGCCAAATATAGTAAAGTTCATGTAAAACTAGGCATATTCAGCTACCTTATTCTCTTAATCAAATTGCTTAGAGCAACATAACCTCAGTAAATAAATTGTAATTTGGGGTAAGGTTCTGCATGCTTACTATAAACAGAGTAACTCTCTTTACAGGAGGCCGCCTCACATCAGTGAAATTACTAAAGTACTAGGAGAAAGGAGTCAGAAACGGGCTTTAATAACTTTAATGTTCCTTGTTCTCATTCCTTTTACTTTTCATTCTAGTCATATTTTCTTTATGATTTTACATTTTTCCTTTAGTGTGTTTCCTAATTTAAAAAAAAAAAAAAGGTGCATTTCCTTCCTTTTTTTTTAATTTCCCTTTATTTTTTTATTTCCTGTCCTTTTTTTCGCCATGGGTTATTGTGTTCTTTATAGCTTCTCCCTTTTATCTCATCCTTGCCGCTTCATCCCTCACCAGCAACAAGTGCTAGTTCTTCTAAAGACAAAAAATTATGGTTGTTTCCAAAGAAAGGACATTTTTAAAGAAGCTCTGCCAAAGCAACAACTGCAAGATTCCTCTCTACGCTTTCTGTCCCTTCTGTATGATTTCTTCATATTGTCTCATCCTATCTCTGTTCTTTTTTCTCTTCTTGTTGTCTCTTCATTCAATTCTACATCATTATTCCTCCCGTTTTCCATTTCATTTTCCTCTTCTCAGATGCATCCCTCTTCTCATTTCTTTAACTTTTCCACCATATGTTCTCTTTGTGGAAATCACTGGTTTCCCCTCATGCTCTTGAGACTCGTGTCTCCATGAAGTTCCTTTCTTCCTTCCAAATTCATTTTACTGTCACCTTTTACTATAAAATTAAAATGCCTCCCACAAACAAATTATTCCTCTTTCTTTGTTTCCCGTGAGCACCAGTCCATTTTCTATTATCAATGTTTTGCCCTGCCTCTCTTACCTAATTTACTTTCCATTGGATTTCCTCTGCTGGCTATTTCTCCTCCTATCTGACTGGGGAAATCATACCCTGTAATCCCTCCCATGGTAGAACTCTGCACAACAGAAATTTGCTTTCTCCTTCAGGGTGCAG